TATACGTTCAAAAAAACCTCATTGTAGGGAACTGTGAGTCCCTCAGAGGCTACCCCCGCAAGTCCCAAGCCCTAGAAACCACGGACAACTCAACCGGACACCCGGAAAAATAAGAACAAGCCCCCAAACCCTAAACCCAAAACCCTGAACCGTTTGATCACTGTTTGAAGACAAAACCCTCAGGAACAAGTAAAACGAGAATTTGTGCTAGGCTGCTGCCCCTAAACCCACAAGCCCCTAAACCCTAAGCCCTAAACCCTGAAGCCTCCACGTAAAACTCTCTGAGGCAACATCCCAGACTTCCAGCGCGACGAGCTGAAGAAAGGAGAGCCATGGTGAGGTTCCCAGATGTTTGGGGGGGTTTGGTTGTCAAGGTTCCGGGTTTAGGCTAGGGTTTAGGGCCTGAGCCTTGCATTTCGGAGCCTGTCGTGGGGACGGTCGTGGGGCTTCAGGGTTAATCGGGGCCCCAGAGATTTTTGTCGCTAGAAGGGCTTCGCAGAGCCCTGGCCCGTCTTGGCGTCAATGAGTCACGGGTTTATCCTAAACCCTACCCATAGGCCCCAGAGTAGTTCCTTTTTGGGGTTGCCTACTAGGATCCTCAATATACGCCACAAAAAAGGAAATACTAAGGGGCCTATGGGTAAACCCTAAACCGTCAGTTTGATGAGGCTTTATCGTGGGTTTTTTTTGGGGGGCTTCCGAAGAGGCCCTCCTGCTGTGGTTGCATAGAACTGCGGTCTACGTATCAGTGGTTTGGGTTTAGGGTTTAGGGGGTTTCGAGTTTCAGGCCGTGTGTGAGGTGTTCGGGACTTGCGGGTTCAGTTTCGGCTTTTCAGGCTGCAGGGTTTGCTACATAAGGATTGAGGTTGGAGGCTTGGGTGGCGCCCTAAACCCTAAACCCTAAGCCTTAAACCATGAACCCTAAACCTTAAACCCTAAACCCTAAACCGGTCTGTCAGAAACAGAATGCCGCACTGTCTTGCTGCCAAGTTGGGGGACTTGAGCTCGCCTGGTTCACTGTCGCAAGGGGTTTTGAGTGTTCGATATTTCGTTCAGCTAGGTGCTTGCAGGTTGCAAAGAGTCCATGGTCGAGGGTTTAGTCTTTAGGCTGGGTTCAGGGTTTTGGGTGCTGTGAAGAGTGCCATGGCTATAGGTTGGATAGTGCGAGGTCTACGAGCCACTTGCAGGTTGGGCTATTGGAGTGAACTTTGCGGATTGGATGGGGGATTGGAAGGGTTTCTGTTCTCAGGGTTGGCAGGGTTTCACGTCATGAGGACCAAAAGCCTTAAACGCTAAACCTGATCATGCGTGCTTAACTGCTGAATCCGAAGCCCTGAAGGTTGTTGCGTGGGGTCGAGCTAGCGGATGCCCACAGTAATTGAGTTCGAAAGATCCGAGGCTAGGGGCTTTAAATGCGTCCGATAGAACGATCATCGCTTGGGGTATTTTTACATGCTGGCTGGCCTTAAGGTTGAGGCGCGTAGATGGGAAGGAACCAGAAACCGGCATCTCATGCACCCTAAACCCTAAACCCTTGTAAAACCTATAAACCCTAAACGCCCTAACCCTCAGTCCCGAAACCCTTGTAAATCTGAAACCCGAAACCCTAACCCTGAACCTTGAGCCCTAAACCGTAGATAAGGGGGGTCGACTGGGACCCTCCGAGTCTAGGACCCTCTGAGTCGCTGCGGCGCAAGGATTTTTCCACGGCCTGACCCCTTCACTGCCCTCTTTGGACTTCGGGGGGGCCTTCCGAGTTTTAATGTGTAGTTCTCTAAAGTTGGGTCCCTTTCAGGGTCCCTTTTTTTAACAGGGTGCCGTACTATTTTGGGGCCCTGAAAAGTTTAAAACTTATAGAGTTTAAAGTCTTGGACCTACTCTAGAATATAACCCCAAGCGACAAAAGTCAACCCGACGCACGCAAATCCCAAAGGAAGATCCGATTTAGGTCGCTGGCTCGTTGGCGTCACGGCGGAGACTTCCACGGCATTCAGGCACGTCTCGGTATCTTGGCAGAAGCTGTCGATGCGTGTTTTTGGTTAGGGTTAAGCGGGTCTCGCTGGCTTTATGTGAGAGCGTGTTGAACATTTTTTTTTGCCTGTTCTAGTGGCTATATCACTATCATTAGTACCATTACTGGTCTGGTAGCATCGTCGTCGTAGTTGCTCGGAACAGGAGGCTACATGGTCGTGACTGCAAAAACTTCAACCACAAAGAGCTGCCGGAGCGGTGCATTCAGGTTACCTACGTGATCTTGGGATCACCACACTGGCACTGTCTCCCATCTTCCTGAACAGCAGCTTGGCTTAAAGCAGATACAGGGTTGGAAAACTAAAGTTGGGAAAACTAAAACACACCGGCAGGCCCCATAGTAGTTCCTTTTGGGGTTCTTATTTAGAATCCTATAAGGTAATCCCAAACAAGAACTACTATGGAGCCCATGGGCAGATGCTGTTGTACCCTGAGCTTCGTACCTGATATCGCTGTCTCTAAATCCTGACAGGCTGAACTAAAACCCTGGATTGACGGCTTCAAGGACGTTGTTAAGGTATCTGACAAAGTGCCTAAACCTTAAACACTTATAAACCCTAAACCCTAAACCCTGAAAGTTTCATCATAGTTTTCGGCTTCGCAAGTTGGCCGCATGAGTTTACCCGGACTCAACACCTTCCTGTAAGCTTGGGCAGCACTACGCTCTGCATCGTCTCCCTTGGCCCTAGAGTGAACCCCAGAAACTTGGAACATGGGATTAGGACGATGGGTGCTGGGACTCCCATAGTTTACCTTTAAGGGCATGAGGAGAATTATGTTCCAACTTTCTGGGATTCAAGACAACCCTCAACCCTAAACCCAAGATGTACGACATTGGCGGACAGCAGCCTCCTGAATCTGAAGGATCAGCATGGATTTGGTGTCGTCTATTTACTAACATCCGGCTAGCTGGCAGGAAGCTACCGATGAGGACGCAGATATGCTACCGTCACGATCATGCGTAAGGTTCCATGAATGTAACTAACAACTCTTTGGCGCTTGTTTCAGGGGGTTCTTTGTTGCTATAGCCTTCGCGAGGAACCCCCAAAAACCGATACTCAGAACATTCGGAGGGCTTCGGTCGATCCCCAACAATCAGCACGGTTTAGGGTTCAGGGTTTAGGTTTAGGGTTTAGGGTTTATGGATGCTTGCCTATAGCCTGTTGTTGCCGCCTCACCACGTGAATGGGACGAATGAATATGTCTATGTCTAGGTCTGTTGCAGACGAAAAGGTTGAACCCTACCGACGGACAGAGTTGTCTTCCTTGTCGTCGTCCAGGTTTTCAAGCTCAGGCAGGCTAGGGCCGTTTGGAAACGCTTGTGATAGTCTTAAATCCCTAAAATCCCCAAACTCTACCTGGACCCAAATAACCTGGCGTTTGCAGGACTTACAGAAAGATCATCACCATAGAGAGCCCTACAAAGGGAAGGTTGTATAGGGTCCAGGTATACGCTAGACATCCCTAAACCCTAAACCCGAATCCCTACCCCTAAACCCTAAACCCTAAACCCAAAACCCCAAGCAGCTGAAGCCAAGGCGCTGGCGATTACCATGGGAAATGCACCACGGCCTCGGCCCGAGAGCGTTTGTTGGTTAGGGTTTAGGGTTTAGG